CTGTCGGGTTTCCAAGCCTGTGGCCTTTGAGTGAGCCGGAACCGCCGACCTTCTGGCTGGCACCACCTAGAGCCATTTGGGCCTTGCCGGGGACTTTAAAAGAGCCTCGTTTCCGTTCTGCTCTTTCTGGATCTTGCTTTGTGTTCCACACTGCACCAGATACATTCAGCCCTCCACCCCCTAAGCTGCCTGCCTCCTCTTTTCCAAACAGCCCACCATTAACCGAAACAACCCATACTGGGCAACAGTGTGATTCTCTATACAACTGTTCTGACAGCTGTTAGTTCCCTGAGGGCAGCACAAGTATGTGAGCCCCAGAGGACTGTATCGCCCACTACCTTCTAGGCACTTCCTACGCATGGCCACCCTACAGGGCAGGATGCAATTGCCCCTGTGGGTTTCCAGTGCTGTGAACTGGAGGTTAGCGCTCAGTGTGTAGCTCATGACCCCACCAGGGCTTTTTAACTGGGTGGTCATTTTCTAGGTTGTTAAAAACCCTCGGCGAGAGCCCTGGAGTAATGACTCAAAACACTGCCTTCAAATCGATTCTGACTCGTGATGACCCTATAGGACAGAATAAAACTGCCCCTGTGTGTCTCTGAAACAGTAAATCTTTACAGGAACAGAATACCTTGTTCTCCTGAGGAGCGGGGCTGGTGGTTTTGAACTACAGACCTTGAGATTAGCAGCCTGGCTCGCTATCCCACTACATCACCAGGACGGCTCCATTCCTGGAGTTATACGGGCTTATTAAGAGCTCCAGGTCTGGAGTGAGGGCTGGGTGCAGTGTGGTTCAGAGTTATGTAAAGTTGTCTGGGCAACATCAGTGCCCTGAAGTGTGAAAATGAAAGTAAAAATAGCACCTGCCTTATCGCAAGGATTATGTGTGTCGTGGAATTAACACAGAACCTAGCGTAGGAGAGAGATGTGCAACAAATGTGTGAACAAGAAGCTAGTCAGTGTGCAGATAAAAGGCAAAAAGGCTTACATAAAGCTCTGACCAAAGCATTGGAAGTCGCGGGGTTGGGGGAGTTTCTCCTTTAGGATCGTCCTTGTAGCCGAATCCGAAGCGGTCAGGAAGGATGAACCCAAAGGGGTCCAGTTGGAGGGGTCACCCTCCCTCCAACTCCGTCACCCCCAAGAAGGGGGCTGCTGCCGTTGTGCTGAAGCAGAGATGAAGAGGTCTTTCGCATCCGTGAAACAAAGACTAGTTCTCCCAGACCTGCGCGCTGCGCGGGTGTGTTTCATGTGCACGGGGGCAGTCATGTAATCAGTTCTTTCGAGTGGACTTGCCTCTTCCTTGTTAACACTATCCTGCTATTTTAATTCGGTGGATGCCCCATCATGTAATTAACGTAAGGGGCATTCTGTCCTACAATCTCTCCGAGTTGGAATTGGTCTGTGAGCACTGAGGGCTTTGCTCCCTGCACCAGGAGCCCTGGTGGCGTAGTGGGCATCATGTAGTGCTCTGCTAACACCAAGCTTCACAGTTTGAAGCAGCTGGTCTACCGGCGAAAGGTGAGATTTTTCCACTTCTGTAAGGAGTTGCGGTCTCGGAAAGTCACAGGGCCAGGTTGACTGTCCTTCAGGGTCACTACGAGTCAATCGAGTTGGTGGCGGCGAGTTGGGTGTTTTGTTCGGTTCTTTCTTTGCGGTTCTTTCTTTGCACCCACTCCAGGTGCCCCCCCCCCCCACTCCCCGACAAAAAGGCCCTCTGGGGATCATTTGTAAATATGCAGGGAAATCAACTGTCCCCTTGTAGACGAGAGAGAATGAGAATGTAGATCTAGTCTTGCTTTTTATTCATTATTCATAATTGGGAGTTAATACATTTATCAATCTATCGTTCAAACATGTCAAGCAGAATCGTACAATTGCTACATTCTTTTTCTTCCTGGATTCCTTGACACTGTCTCCCTTTTACACCCTCTACCTAGCCCCCCCATACACACACAGTATCCCCCGCCACCTGAAACCCTTATTCCACTTGCTGTCCTTATAAATTCTTGCTTTTTTTCCCAGTGTACTAATATATCTTGGATGCTCTTCTCTACATCCTTCTGTCAGTAAACAAAGAACTCGCTTAATCTTTTTATACTTGCACGCCGATCCAGGGCATGGGTGTGTGCCATGATTTATTTCCTCTTGACAGGGACTTAGGTTATTAATCCTTTGTTACTACAAATAGAGCTGCCATGCACGATGCACAGAAGCTGTTTCACTCGGGCGTGAATCCAGTTACAGAGGTCGTTCCTGGCTGGCATGGCGGGGCCTGCCCGTGCCTTGCAGAGTGGAGGCGCCACCACGGTGCCTCTGGTGGCCACTTCATTCCCACCAGCATTGCCTGCCTGCCGCCCTCATGCTTTTCAGTGGACGGTGTGGCCAGAATGGGCTCTTGGCCAACCTAAGCCAGCGACCATCGGGTTGACCCCGACTCTTGGAAGTAGACTGCCAGGCCCTTCTTTCAAGGTGCATCTGGGTGGCCTTGACCTCTCCAGCCTTAGCAGCTGAGTGCTGTACCATCGACAGCACTCAGGCCACGGCCACGGTTGTTGTGGGGTGGGGAGAAAAGGGTTACCTTTTTATTGAAAGCCTAGAGCGCAGTAGGCAGTTTGGGGAACTTCAAGCGCAGTGTTAGCTGTGGTACCCAAAACCAAACCCTCTGCCATCCAGCCGATTCCCACTCACCCCCAGCCCATAGGTAGACCTGCTCCCTGCGATGTCAGCTGTAAGTCTTTATAGGAGGAGCAGCTGGTGGGTTTGACAAAGGTTCGCCTCGCAGTTAGCAGCTCAACGCGGAATGCACGACACCCCCAGAGCGCCTAGGTGGGTTATGTTAGATAACTAGGTTCCCAAGCTTGCATGATCAGAAGCATCACCTTTGGATCTAGGGAAACCACAGATCCCTGGGCTCCTCCCCTGAGAGAGTCTGATTCATTAGGTTGCAAATGGAGCCCAGAGATCTGTAGTTCCGCCAGATCCCCAGGTGGGTCCAGTGATCAAGCGAGTTTTGGAACCTGGGCAATAGATTCTAATTAGGTGATCTGTTGAGTGTCACAGGCACCTGTCATCCCCACCCCTGTCAGTAAGCAGAGGGACTCTCCTCTTTAACATCTGTGGAGTAATGCGTAATTGAGCTGTCAAAAGGAGGCCCTGGTGGCACCAGGGTTAAAGTGCTCTGTTGCTAGCCGAAAAAGTGGTTGTTGGAACTCAGCCGCTGCTCCAGGGAGAGAGAAAGAAGCGGCCACGTGTTATGTGTCTCCGCAAAGATTCACCGCCTCAAACGCGCTGAAGCAGCTGTGCTCTGCCCCTTAGGGTCACTAGGAGTCCCGCTTGTTGGTCCCGGTTGGTCGGGGCTTGGTTTGAGTGCAGCTGTCAGCTTACAGCTGTGGCCTTGACATTCCCTAGGTCACTGGTAGGCTTGCACCCACGTCGTTCCTGCTGCTTACAGATCTCAGGATCTCGGGGCGTGGCTTCAGAAACAAGTGCTGAAGCATCACTGTCTCAACTTAGAAACGGTACGAGAAAAACACCATGTTTACCGAGCAGAAGACAGTCTTTTCTTCACCCCCGCGGAACCTCCCAGGGTATTCAAAGAGGCACCGGGCACTTGCAGGTAGAACCAAACCTGCTGTGGCAGTTGATGGAGTGATGGCACAGTACTAGCTTCGGAGGGTTAAAAACCTAGTGCTAGCACAGATTTGGTTTGAAATGCCCTTGGAGGGAAGAAAGGACATCTTGTTCCTGCAGTGTTTTTAAATTCTGCTGATGTTTTTATACAGGCTTGATCAATTTCCTGAGCGAATGAGGCCAAGATTCCCCTCTGTTATCTGTGATGCTATTAATAGCCCCAAAGAAACCGATCTTTCTTAAGTCTAGAAAGCATTCCAAGGCATGTTGCATTTCCCAGATGGGACTAATATCTGAGAGCTTCAAAAAGGTGTGACGTTTGCTGTCCACCGTGGGTTTTTTGCCATCCTTTGCTCTTCAACACAAGACCAGCGCCAGGTCTTTCCTGAAGGATCAAGTTGAACAGTTGACCTTTGAGGGGACATGTCATGGTTTTGTAAGAGACCACTCAGGCGACTAGCTGAAATCCACCAAATGAAAGTCCACTAGTGAGCTAGTGGCCTAGTATTTTGACTAGCACTCGTCAGCCCCGTAGATGGAGTACATGAGCGGGTCCCTGCACGTGTCTCATGAGCAATGTGCACAGCACCCCCCCACCCCACCCACAGTCCACGGGTGTCATTAAGTGCACGTTCTGGCTGGCTCTTTTGAACCAGACCAGGGTTCCTGCCACTACCCCTATTCCCTGGCAGCAGCCTCCTCTCCCAAAGGCTCTTCCTGCCTCTCCTTGGGGTCCCCTTTCCTCCACTACTGTCCAGTCTGTTCTTCCCACTGCAGCCAGAGTGATTGACCCAGCCCCGCACCCCCACCCCCAGCCCTTCCTGACTCCCTAACATACCGCAGTAAGCACGATAAGCCAGAGTTTCACCTCTTGGCTCCCCTGGAAGGCAGCCAGGCTCACTGCCCTCTCTGCCTGGGACACAGCAGGTGCCCAGCCAGGGCGTGTGGCGTGAACTTGCGAGGCTTCTCTTAGGTTGGGCAGTGTGTGGCGTGAATTTGTGAGGCTTCTCTTAGGTTGGGCAGTGTCCGAGTTTACAGGCGTTTCTTGAATTGTGCGTGTTGTGTCTGGAGGAGGGGGTGCCGCTAACGCCCTGTCCTCTGTGGTACCAGGTGACAGAGAGGCACCTGTGGCCCAGGCAGCAGGGGACGTCTGCCCTGCGGGGGCAGTATTGTGAGCCCGGCTTCTCGGAGTACGGGCCCTGAAGGAGCTCACCTCTGCACTCCCGAGAGGTTTGCATTGAACGCGCTTCCACAAGGTGGCTGACGAGTTAGGCTTGAAGCAGGAGAAAAAGCCTTTGCGGGGAAAGAGGTTTCTACGCCTGGCGGCATGGTGTGCGCCAAGACAAACTCTGAGTGCACTGTCTTTTCAGGTGGTGATCAATGGAGGGGCCACGTCCAGCAGCGAGCAGGACAATGAGGACACCGAGCTCATGGCAATCTACACCACAGAAAACGGCATTGCGGAAAAGGTACCCTCCTGACGCGGCCTCGGAGCCGGTGGGGGGCACAGGCGGCCTCATCGGGCTTTGTCTGCCCTCCTGAGCTGGGCTGGGGGGACATGGGCATTTTATCATGGAAGTGGGAGCCATGGCTAGAAGTGACAAGTTTTCCATTGCCTCCATTACGGTGGCAACCATAGGTGGTAGAATTATCTAGATGTGTTTTTTTTTAAAGATCTTCAGCCACGGTCCCAGAGGGATAGTGGTTAAGAGTGTGGGGTCTATTTTCCCAAAAGCCAAATGATGAGATGGGAAGGGGGGAAGCTAGATCAAGAGGAACAGAACAAACAATGGAAACGACAATGAAACTTGTCACCAATGCCCCATTCAACACACTGGTATAAAAGTTGTTGACTGGGAACCAAACTCACTGCGCGCACACACACTTTCAGCTGAAAGGCAGTACGTGATTAAAACTAAAACAAAACTTGAGGTCTGAAGCGAGGTAGGTCTGGGTACAGATATCATCCAGCTCCAGAGGGGGAGTTACTTGAGCCTGGAGGACATCTGTCTCTACAGCAGGAACAAAAATAGCACGGCTCGCAGGGTGGTTTTGAGGATTAAATAAAACAAGGTGAAGTTAGCAGCTCCGTGGCGGACACACGTAGGTGCGGGGTAGATAATGCAGTAGGAGGAACCCATCAGTGGTTGTGAAAATGCTCTTTGACCAACGCAATGGGAATCCCTCACTAAGGTGAGGAAGACCCTTTTGTGACCCTGCCCGATCTCCTGAAGGCCAGTCTCTGTGGCCAGAGAGACCGGCTTTCACGGACCCTGGGCTCAGAACTCTGCTAAGCCGACAGATAACAAGTGTAGCCCCCAGCTTGAGCGGAATGATAAAGACCGAAGAAATGATACAACGTCCCTGTGTAAGCCATCAGCTTTCTGTGTGTGTTTGCCCAAACTGCCTTTCCAGTCTCGGAGGTGGACGTTTTATGGGGGTTTCCCCTGCTGCTGTCTGACACAGTTTAAAAATTGGGGGAGGCTAATGAAAGGAGACTTAACCAAGCTTTTCCCCCTGAAGAGTCCAAGCGTTGCTGTAGACCTTGGAGCCAGAGTGGCCCCGGGCCCGTGCGAGGGTCACTGCCTGGCCGCGGCCCCCAGCGTAGCCTGATGAAGTCACAACGCCAGCACGGCACGTTTTCTAGCAAACTCTTACCCACAGACTTGTTGGCACCAAACCCAGTCCTCAGGCGCTGGGTGCTTGGTCACAGGGTGACCAGAATGCCCAGGATACCACTGCGGGCCAGGCACCCAGGAAACTAGCCGTCTTTTGAATCGGTAGTTAGGAACATTAACATTTATGGGCTTTTGAGCAGCTGATGCGTTTTAAATTGGGTGGAGGTTTACAGAGCAGATTGATTTCCACTCGACAGTTGTAACATTTTGTTTCACCTCGATTTCGCTCCCTACAAGGTACTTTAGGGACCCCACTTCCTCTCTGTTTTCCCTCTGAAGTACCTTTGATTAGGATGTGTTTGGGGTGGGGTGCTGGTGGTGGGGATCTCTAGTACATTTTAGCTAGAGGTGTGCTTCTGCTTGGGTGAAACATTGTATCATTATCTTTATCAGCAGCTCGTGTGGATCTCTTCAAATACTAAGGGAAATAAAGATCTCCTTGGTTTCCTGGCCACCTTTCTTGCTCCATGAAATGCTGGGTGGGACGAGAACAGCCGGATGGTGCGCACAGACCAGGCCTGGGCTTGAGTGCTGCGCAGCGCACTGCCTCTCACACTTGATCCTCACGAGGACCCTGCGAGGAGATCGCTCTCACGACTCGTGTTTTTAAGGAGCCTTGGTGGCTGAGTGGTTATGCAATGCGTTGAGCTGTGATCTGCAAGGTCTGAAGTTCGAAACCACTAAGCCGATCCTCAGGAGAAAGACGGGGCTTTCGACTCTTACAAACAGTTACAGGCTCGGAAACTCACTGGGCCAGTTCTACTCTGCCCTTACGGGGTTGCTATGAGTTAACATCGACTCGATGGCAGTGAGTGGACCCCCCCCCCCCTTTTTTTTTTGCTTTTGTTTTTGTTTTTTTTATTTTTTATTTTCAGGCATCATCTCTGTTTTAAAGATGAGAAAAACGGTTTGTTGTTGTTTTGGGAGGGGGGGCCTACCATCTTAAAAGGAGCCCTAATAGTGCAGTGGGTTAAGCACTAAGCTGTTAACTAGAAATTCAGGGGTTCAGATCCATCAGCCGCTCGATAGCAGAAAGATGAGGCTGCCTGCTCCCGTGAAGATGAATTTAAGGTGTCAGAAGCCCCAGGGAGGAGCAGTGCTACCCTGTCCTGCCTGGTCACAACGAGTCAAAACAACTGGCTTGGTGGCAGTGGGTTGGGTTTGCTTTGACCAAGTCTTGGATTTGTGCAAAGAAAACATCACTTCAGAGGGTGTGATCCTACCCTGGGGGATCTTGCTTTCCAGGTGGCCTGGGAAGACCCTTCCCCTCAGCACCTGACACATGAAATAGGAACAGGAGTTCAAGGAGAGATGGGGCAGGGAAGGGAAAATCCTGTCCCATTGATGTTCTCCTTACTCGTGTTTGTTCTCCCAAACCATTAAGCTGTTCGTGGTTTTGCACGTGTATTTATTTTATTTTTCAAAATGGCAGTTCTCTGCGGCCCATCAGTACTCTGGAACACCCCTCTGGGTCAGTGCTACTTAGTGTGACAGGAGCTGTTTCTTTGTGGTCATCAGAGGGAGTCAGTATACCGTGAGCCGCACGGAGTCAGTCTGCTGTGCGCAGGTCCTGAACAGGTCGTTCAACCTTCCTAGTCTCCAGCTTCTCCTCTGTAAAATGGGGGCATAACAGTGGATCCCAGGAGCAAGTACATGATGCTGGGATCCCAGACGCGAACATTCTTTTATTGGGGAATGCTCTGTTTGTGTCTTTTCACATACAGGGGGCTGGGGGTGGGTGGGCGGCAGCTATTAGGAATCAGAGATGGCTATATCGTGAGTGCCCACCATAATAGCCCAGGCTGTTCACCACGCACTGCCACGAAATCGATTAGACTCGCAGTGACTCTGAGCAGGTTTTCCGAGGCTGTAAATCTTCCCTGGAGCAGGCAGCTTCCTCTTTGTCCTTGTGGCCAACAGTCCAGTCACCAGGGCTCTTCACTCCTCATAATTTGGAGCCCTGTGTTTCAAGTGAAATATTGCCGCCACCACCCCAGCCGCATTTTTTAATTGGGGATACTGTTCTTGAAAAATCAAGTTATTTGGAGCATATCACCACGATAGTAAACAGTATAAAAAATAACAGGTACCATTGGTGGCTGGCAATCTGGTACAGTCCTTCCTGCATTTTCCATGTACAAGTGCACGAGCGCATGTGTACGCATACGCACACGCACAGCCGCTGGTCCGTTAGCCTGTAAAATGCTGTATGTATCCCTAATGTAGGGACCCCAGGCCTTCTGAGTTAGGCATGGCCTCCAACCCCAAGCGCAGTAGTGCATACGCACAGCATGTTCCTGCGGGTGTGGGGCGGACAAGCATGAGGCTGCCTGTGCCCTCCCAAGATTTAGTTTCGGGAACACTGTAGGGTCCCTAGGAGGCGAGTTGCCTTGATGGCAATGGATTTGGCTTTTATATAATTTGAGGGACCCTGGGGGGCACAGGGGGATCCTCTTGGCGTTTAGCATCACTCGCCATTCCAGGGGGAAAGATGAGGCGGTCTCCTTCCATAGATTCACAGCCACGGAACTCCTCTGGGCAGTTCTACTCTGTCCTTCTCAGGTCACGTTGACTTGGATTTGACTTGATGGCAGTGAGGTCGGGTTTCTTGGTTTTATACAAAGTACCGTATATGCTCATGTATAAGCTGAGTTTTATGGCACATTTTTAATGCAGTTTTTGTGGTAAAATGAGGTGCCCCAGCTGATATTCAAGTTGGCTTATATTCAAGTATATACGGTATTCATTTTACCAAATAAAATAATCTGAGGATTCTTTTAATTTAAAAAAAATTAAATTTATTTAATTTCTTGAATGAATAGCCCTGTGGTTAAAAAAACAACAACACAAAAAACCCAAACCTATGAAATGGTACATAGTTAAGTCTCTCTTCCACCTTGTATCCTATCTACTCAGGCCAACTCACTGAAAAAGTCATCTTTGTTACTAGTTTCAAGCACCAGACTGCTGACTACAAGATTGGCAGTTCAAACTTGACTGCTGCTCTCTGGGAGAAATATGAGGCTACCTGCTTCCATAAAGGTTTACAACCTCTGAAATCTACGTAGGGTTGAAATGATTCGGAGTTGACTCCGGGTCAGTGGGTGTGGGTTTTATATGGTCTGGAGGAGGCCTGGTGGCATAGCGGTTAACAAGTTGGGCTGCTGATTACAAGGTCAGCGGTTTGACTCCACCGGAGAAAGACGAGGCTTTCCACTCCCATAATCATTTACTGTCTTCACAACCCAGGGGTACAGTTCTACTTTTTCCTATTGAGTTGCTGAGTTGGATCCAGTTGGTGACTTGGATTCTGTGTCTGTATGCCCTGGATTGGCAAAGTTCAACCTCCAAACCAAACCTGGTTGCTGTATGTTTTTGTAGATAAAATGCTATTGGAGCACATCCATGTTGCTTGTTTACACTGCCTGTGGCTGCTTTCATACCATGAAGACAGAGTAGTTGAGTAGCCATGACAGAATTATTGTGTGGCTTTAAAATACTTAACTATAAAAACCAAACTCACGGCCGTCAAGTGAATTCTGACTCATAGCAGCACTGTAGGACAGCTGAAGGAACTGCCCCTGTGGGTGTCCACGGCGGTACAGCTCATGGGAGCAGAAAGCCTCATCTTTCTCCCAAAGGGCGTCTAACGGATTCAAACGGCTGGCTTTGCAGTTAGCAGCCAGACCGGTAATCATGGTGCCACAGGGATCCGTAATATTAAAAAAAAATTTTTTTTAAGAGTTGTCGAATTTCTGTTCTAGATGAAATTATTTTGTAGAGGGTTAAAAATAAAAACACTAAAATACCCCCCAGCAATGTGAGAGACTAAATAACCCTAGAAATGGCTCATAAGCAGGAAAGGTCATTAAAGATTGTGAGAGAGCTGAGCTCGGCATCCCCTTTCACCTTTGAAGGGCAGGCAGTTGGTTCGTTTTTTAGATGATGTCAGGCCATCACATCAGACGGAGAATTCTTTTTCAAGTGACATTATTAAAAGATCTTTTGAAAGAATCTTGATGTTAGGTTTTTGCCTTTGATGTGTTTTTTGTTTGTTTGTTTGGTTGGTTCTTGCATTAGAAAGTGCCTCGAGTTGTGCGCACAATGGTAGGAGGACGTGGCGCCCACCACAGTGTAGTGACCAGACCTGCTCCTTTCCGTCTCACGGAGAAGCAGCGTGGCATTTGCCCAACTGGTTTGATGCCATCACTACTCTGTAATTGAAATACTACTTGTGGGCATGTTCTTTATGCATACTCATGTGCTGTGCACAGATGTGCGTGCATGCACACGTGTGTATGTTTGCATACCTTTATCTTAGCCTATTTTAGCTGATGAATGACAGGTGCCAAGTCTTTTCATCTCTGTCCATCTGTTTGAGAGCTAAAACTGGTTAGGATACCATATGTCTTAGGCTGTTTGTAGAGAAGCAAAAGTAGTGAAGCTTATAGATGTGTGAGAGACATTTATGTCAAGAGAAGTGGGCAAGGACAAGTCTGGGCAAGTTCCAAGTCTGTGGGTCAGGTAGTCAGCTGGAGGCTTCTCCTGACTCATAGCTGCAGAGGCAAAGGGGTTCAGATAACAGACCGTCAACAACTCCCGGATCAGCAGCCAGCATGGCAGGCCTCGGGATCACATCCAAAACCTGTGGTCACTGAGCCAGATGCAGGATCCAGACCCAGCCAAAAAAATAATGTAAAAAAAGGGCAAACAGGCTTTCCCACAGTGTCCATTTATTTTGGAAGCAGGCCACACCCCCAGTGAAATTTCCTTTCAATTGATTGCATCAGGGCTGCGATCTGAGTAAGGAGGTTGCATCTCCTCCACCCTCAGGCTTCTTACAACTGATGGAGTCCTCATTGCAGACCCCATCGTGGAAGTGACCGCACTGTGTTAGGCGACATCGTGGGCATTACTAGGTCTTCGCCTAGAACCCGGGCCCAGCTGTGTTGACAGAAAACCTAACCATCACACCCTGATAGTACTGTACAATGTAACTGTAATTGTAGTGTTACTGCTGTACTGTCTTCAGATCTTTCTGAACAGAAACCTTCCCGGCCTGTGAAATAATGCAATGGTGCTGACTTATCCTTTGTGTAGCGAACCTAATATCCATAGCTACGTGTCCACCAAACGGACGCCACATGTCAAATTACTTATTCACAGACATACTTTCTCCACTCTTTCTACCAGCACATTTTAGGAAGACACTTAGAATCCTTCATAACCCATTCAACAGTGCAAATCTGTGAATATCCATGGTTGGAATTAATGGAAGACAAGCCCTCTCTGAAAGGTCATATTCAATCACATTTGGATTAGATCAAATGTCAGCTTACATTAGACATTGACGTTTAGACTTGAAGGTGAGGCTAAACTGCATCACTTCTTTGTTTAAAGGCCCCAGACTCCAGTTCTCTGTACATTGAAAACAGGGACAAACACGGAATTAGCATCTTGGGAAAGCCCAAGCCCGTCAGATGAGAAGGAAGGGGTTGGACTAGCTGCGGTTAATTTCCGGATGTCGTCAGTCATCATTATCGTTTTTTGTGGAACATCTTTTCATTTTGTTTCCTGTTGACCTTAAAATTTTTTTTTTTTGGTTTGGCTAGCTCCTAAGCTATTTAAAAACAATGTGAAGAATGTGAGCACTTGTTTGTAGGGGGTTCAAAGCAGAGTGGTTCTGAGGTGAAAATTAGTGTGATGCTGAGTTTTTCTGTTTGGCTCAGATGCCACACGAGCTGCCAAGTCCTGCCGGGAAGGTCTCTGGATGGCAGAGAAGGTTTGTACTCATCCGGTAGGCAAAAGGGTGCCACCCGGCGGCACCACTGAAGAAACAGGCTGGTGCTCTACTGTGGTTGCACTGCGGCCAGTTCAAAAGCCTGGCCCTCTGCAAACCCACACCTCGGCAGCAACCGGAATAAGGCAGACGCAGGCCAGAAACGCCGAGACTCAAACCTGCAGGGTTCCGGTCTTTCTGATGATTTTTGGCATGTGGTGAACGATAGGCACTTACCTAGTGGTCAGGCACAAGGAGACCTGGCGGTGTAGTGGTTATGCATTCAACTGCAATCCATAAGGGTCGATACCAGGGGAGGAAGATGAGGCTTTCTACTCCCATGAAGCGTTTCAGTCTCGGAAACTCAAAAGGGCAGTTCTACCCTGTCCTGTAGGGTCCCTGTGAGTCGGCATCGCCTGGATGGCAGTGAGCGAGCAAGTGAGCGAGGCAGGCAAGGGGCAAGGAGAAATCAGAAGTAGTCTTGTCGACTATCCGTGCATTGCTGGGCCCTGTTCTTAGAGCCAAGCATTACACGTCGTCATGTTGGCTCCCTTTCTGTTCTTTTGACTCAGTTGCTGTCTGAGCAGTAGTGGTGTGTGAGGAGGAGGTGAGACTTCCTCTTCCAAATAGAAAGATCCCATCTCCTTGCAGGTGGGGAGACCAGTCTCTCCTGTGTGGAAAGGGTTCGTACTGAATAGCCATCTCTTCAACCAGGACCTATCCGGGCTGCTCGTGTCCACCGCCCCCATGTGGCCTTGCCTGAGAGCATCTGGCCAGCACACCTGTCCCCAGCGCTGAGCCAGTAGGGCGCTCTGAGAGAGGAGCTGGTGCCGGCGCTGCTGCACAGGGTTCTTGGACCCTGTCTCAGAGGTTGCTGTTGGGTGGACTCTTGATTTACGACTGTGTTGCTGCCTTAGCTGTTCTGTTGTGCCTTTTATCTATTTTTGTGTGTGCTTTTTTGGGAACAGAACAGACATTCTGTTCCAGCTCCTCCATAGGGTTTTTAATGGCTGATTTTTATTTATTTTTTTCAGATTCACCAGACCTTTTTTTCAAAGGTGGTTCCGGGTGGACTCAAACCCTCAGCCCTCAGGTTAGCAGCTGAGCACATTTAACCATTTGCACCACCCAGGGACCCCAGAGAGCGAGATTCAAGGCTTCATTTCACAGGCGAGGGCAGGACAGCTGTCCTGTGTGGAGCTGCGTGGTGTGGGTCCTTGCGTTTCCTAAGTCCTCCTTTTCCCTGCTCACCCACAGAGCTCACTCGCAGAGACCCTGGACAGCACTGGCAGCTTGGATGCCCAGAGATCGGACATGATCTACACCATCGAAGACGCCCCCCCCTGGTACTTGTGCATCTTCCTGGGGTTACAGGTGAGACGCACAGGCAGTGTCAAGTGGACCGTGGTCCCTGTGGGGTCAAGCATGAGCTTGTGTGGATCGGGCACTGCCTTGTGCCGGCCCTGTGCCACCCGTGCGCATGTACACATCACAATTGATTTAAATGTCCTCACAGTGGAATAAGGTGAGCTCTCATTCTTATCCCTGTACAGTGAAGGAGACAGGCACAGAGGGAGGAGGAAGCTTGAGTGTTATAGTAGTCTAGGTACTTTGGAGAAACAAATCCACAGCAACTCATGTATAAGAGAGTTTTATGCAAAGAAAATGTGCATCACGACAACATCCCAACCCAATGCTGCCCAAGCCCACAAGTCCAACATTAACCCATTCACGCAACACCAGTCCACAAAGTCCTCCACCTCACAAAACAGAGGCAATGATGCCGACTGCAGGAGGAAAGCTGAGTCAGTGAACGAACAAGCATCTCAGCACTGGCAGGGGTCTCCACACGGCTGCTCCAGCACCCAGGGCTGCATTGGGATAGGTCCATGTAGCTTCTTCTTGGGGATGTCTTGTAGGAAGTCAATCTTGCAAGCTGAAGCAGGCAACTGCTAAGGCAGCTGCACCCGGTGCAACCATCACAAAACAAGAGACCCGAGAACTAGAAAGGCGAGGCTTCACCACCCATTTATCCCTCTGCCTTTCAATTAGCCCCACATGTGATTATCGGCCAGGCTGGCACAATTAACTAACTCAAGTGTCTTCCCCTACATCGCTTGAAAGCGGCACCATTCGGATTTGGGCATGGGCAGTCTTAACTTCAGAACTCACATTTTTAAAAAGTAGTACATGACCTCGCCCTCTAGAGGGAGCAAGACCTGGCTTTCTACTCCCGTGAACAGTGACAGTCTCGGCCACCCTCAGGGGCTCACTGTGTGTCAGCATTGGCTGGTGGCAGCGAGTGGGTGAGTTCTCCTGGAGGTGGACAGTGAGGATGGACTGACTCTGACTCAGGGTGACTCCTCGCGCATCAGGAGTAATGTTTGATAGCAGGTCGCCAGGCCTTTCTTCTGAGGTACCTCTGAGCAGACTCAAGCCTCCGGCCTATTGGCTGGTAGCAAGCCTGCTCCCGGCACACCCCAGCATCAACCATCGCTAAGCACTAGCTGCTTAAGTGGTGGTTTCCTCCAGCCTTTTCCACTAGCCCGGTCCCAGAGGGAGTGCTGCTTGTGCCTGTGCTGCCCCGGGGAGCGTTGGGTTAGAAGCTTCCTTCGGAATAAGGCAAGCAGATGTCGTGAAAAGGAGAGGTGTGGAATGGGAAGGAAGAAGGCAGGCCCGATACAGCACACGACCTTGAGAGAGTGAGAGAGAAGCTTCCAGGAAAGCACAGCTTCGCCTGGGGATGACATCAGATCCCGCAGGGAGGGAGGGGGTGCTCACCGTCCGCGCCTCTCCCCTGCCTGCAGCACTACCTGACCTGCTTCAGCGGCACCATTGCGGTGCCTTTCCTGCTGGCTGACGCCATGTGTGTGGGCTATGACCAGTGGGCCACCAGCCAGCTCATCGGGACCATCTTCTTCTGCGTGGGCATCACAACCTTGTTACAGACGACGTTTGGATGCAGGTGAGAGTGGGTTACTCAGTTGGGGTGCTAAGCCACCCCGGGGTGTGGAGGGCAGCTCACTTGGCAGGCCTGGCTGGGGAGGGGGCAGTGTATAGGGAGGCCCCAGGCACCACTCTCCTCCCGGCCGCTGAACCCCAACAGGCGGATTCTCTCTCTAGTCCAGACCTGGGCTGTAGCACCAGGGTCCCTGGCTGGCTTGACCTCCTGGTCCCGCTCCGCACTCCCCCGGCCCCACTCCTAGGGCCTTCTTGTTAGTATCCATAGCGTCCCTGCCAGCCAGGCTGGGGCTCAGTGCTCTGTTTTAGAACCAGTGTCCAGTGGGGTGACCCCTTGATCTCTGCCCTGCCTACCTTCCCCTGTGCCTTTGAGCCTGCTCCCCACTCCCCCCAGCTAAGTGGGACCCCCCAGCATGCCTTGCTGCTCTGCCTTGTGCTGCTGCTTCCCATCCGTCCTCCCTCCCAGGAGACAAACAACTGTTGGTCCTTCCCTCCTGAGCCCCTTCCTGTCCTCGTCCAAAGCCTTCCCTGAGTTTTCCTGTGTCCCCACACCTGCACCTGCGTCTGGGGTGGCTCCCCATTTGTCACAGTGTGCTTTTGCATCTTACTGTCCCCCACCCCCACCCTGATCCCCGCCCCCCTTGATTTTGACTTGTTCGCTCTGCACCCTGACCTTCAGCTTAACCAGGCGTGTGGCACAGAGGTCAGGGTTCACCCTTCCCAGGCCACCTCTCCGAGGCCGGGACCACTGTGACAGCTCTATCCTCAGCCTGAGAGTCCAGACCCTCCCCACGGGGAGACAGTCTAAGTAGGGATCTTCCTCACTGGGCAGTGAGAGGCAGACCGTGCACTGCGCCAGACAGCCTGTGAATCGTGGGCTGGTTTTCCGTGTGTCAGAATCCTCAGGCACCTCACAGAGGGTTCACCCTTGGGGTGGGGCTGGGGATGCACTGAGATCTGTGTCGACAATGGCATGGGGTGGGCGGTCCCTCACAGGCCTGCTGTGGAGCATTGGAAGCCCCCACACCGGGCCCCCGCCAGACTGCTGCAGGCCCCCAGCCTCCGGAGGGAAGCGCGTCCCTTGTCTGGATGTTGGGGGGTGGCGGTGGTTGGCACTGACCCACTGGGGCAGGAGCTATGTTCCTGGGCGGCCTCACCTCGCTGACCTCTGAGCCAGGTGAGCCGGCAGCTGGTATTGCTCACACCTTTGACGTGATGTCCGCGGCATCCTCTCTGGCCAGTGCCGGGTGGATTTGAAGCACGGGCTGGGCACCTCAGGAGCCTTCCCTTCTGGAAGACACTGTCCATTTGTGAAACAGCATTGCCAGGTGCCTGTAGTTGTGAAGAGGGCGTGGCCTGAGGAGGCGATGAAAGGCGCCTCTATTGCTGTTCAGGATGGGGCTCATCCAGGGCCCTCTTGCCCATTGTTGAAGCCCCCAAGACCCGTAGGACCACCCAAGGCCAGCCTATACATCCCTCCTGCCGCAGTGAGAAGGAAGCAGAGAGGGATTTGACTTGCGTGTCTATACACTGTGTCCAGGAAGCAGGGCGGAAGCAGCTTGTCTTGCTGTGGTTTGTGGGAGGAGGGTGTTTGGGAAGCCCATCCATCGCCTTTTGGCGAATGGTGTGAGTAGCCGTGGATGCCACGCCACCTTCGGACAGCACCGTGTTGGGGCCATTGGCCTGGTTCTAAGTCAGGAAGTAGGAGCTGTGTAAAGATCACATCGGTGCCCGTGTGCTGCCCGGGGTGGTCCTTGGGGTGGGGGCGGGGGGAGGATGAGGTGGAGGTGGCGGGGCTCTGGTGTGTGGTTTATCTCAGGCAGGGCAGGGCAGGTGGTGCCCATAGAAGGAGGAGGAGGCAGGCATACTGGCTCAGGGCCCCTCCCCTCCCTGCGCCCGGCCCCGCACCTCCCTGCATACACGGAGGCACCCGGTGAGAGGCCTGGCAGGGGCACGGCGCACAGGGTGGTGGCGAATCAAGCCGGTGCCGTGCGGTGCTCTGGACAGAGCCATCCAGATGCCACGAGGCATCCTGCCGGGCACTTGCCTGGAGGTCACAGAGGATCCCAAATCCATTCCAGTGGATTTTGGGATGTTACAGCTACCTCTCCAGCTCACCCTGGGATTGGTGCCGAGCCTGCATCATCCCGTAAGGCCAGAGCAGGTGATTGCCGAGGCCATTGACTGTGGTGCTGTGCCAGCCAGCTGCCATCCTGCCCAGGCTACACGGCCAGTGTCCCACCTCAGGCGATCCTGTGGCTGCTGGTGGGCTTTGCCCTAAGACCGAGTCTTCCTGGCCCCTCCATCCCTCCTGGGTCCGCGCACTCAGCCACGTGCCTCCAGGTCTCGTCCAGAGCTGGCATGGAGGAGGCCCTCTGGGACCCTGTGACAGACCTTCCCAGGAAGGAAGGCCCCTGTCCTTGGGGCCCCATCATTGCCCTCTGTGGTGGGGGCGGCCCCTTCTGGGGGAGCATCTCTGGCCACTCAGAGACCTGCTGTGGGTGCTCAGGACCTTCTTGTACTAAGAAAAGAAAGGTCTCCCCCCACCACACCCCCGTCCATGCCCCAGCCGTGGTCTGCTCCCAAGCACGAGAGCGTGCCGCTGTCTTCTGCCTCTGAGGCGCTGGAGAGGGCTGCTCAGGGTCGTCAGGGACCTGGAACATGCCAAGTGCAGGGGACAGGCCCAGCGCACGCTAGCTGCAAGCCCGGGACTTGGAGTTCATGACGACTGCTAAAGCTGAGATGAGCAGAGAGACGCAGGGATTAGGTTTCGAGGGAGGGTTCGGGTGGGACTTTCCCTCGGACTCTGTATGTGTGTATTAGTGTGTAGGCTGTATGTACGACTTTGGAGTTACCTTTGAACCACTTCAAAGTAAAAGTCACAGACATAAGAATTCAGCTGTGCTCTCCTAGCAACAAAGACCATCTCCCGGGCAACCACTTATCACCCCTCATTACACATACTCAAAAAGTTTATAAAAACAAAAAGCCTCCCTGCCATCCGGTGGATTCCCGTGCACAGCGGCCCTGTGGGACAGAGTAGAACTGCTCCTGTGGGTTTCCAAGGCTGTCAGTCTTCATGGAAGTGCACAGCCTCCTCTTTCTCCACTGGAGCCGCTGCTGGGTTCAAACTGCTGGAGGTTAGCAGCCCAACGCATAACCCACTGTGCCACCAGGGCCCCTCACCAAATGAATAGTTATCTGTGCTAACCATCTGATGCACAGCCCGGACTTGACATGTCCCCAATTGTCCCCAAAATGTCTTCTGTGACCCACACACACACACTTGCCTAAACCGGGGTTCAGGCGTGAAGTATTTTGGTTCATCATGTCTCTCTGGTCTCTCAGTCACAAACAGGACCCCACCTTTTCCTTTTCCATAGTGCTGCCTTCTGAGGTGTGCAGGGCAGTTGTGGAAGGTCCACAGGCCGGATGTGTCTGACTGTGTCCCGTGGTGCTGTTTAATCAGTTCCATAATCCCTTTTGCCTGCTGGAAACTGGCAGACAGGACCGGGCATGCATGATGCCGGGCCAACAGTTTTGCCAAAATTCCTATGTAGTGGGTGTTGAGCCATGGACACCCTGTCCTGTCCAGCCAGCTCTGCGGCAGCTTGCCGGGGTCTCCGCCTGCCCAAATAGCAGGATTACAGCCCACTTAACTGAAAAAGAACGTCAGGTAGTATAAACATGCTAGGCCAGCAAGACCCCGGAGGCCCTGGGCTTGGAAGAGGACACTTCTGCCAGCCGCAGGTCGGCCCCTGCACTGCACGCCCACTGTGTGGGTCTTAAGGTGACCAGATTTAAAGCGGGACACCATTGACCAGGGGGTGAAAGGGGTGGGGGAGGGGTTTTTGATTAAAAATTTGGTCTATATGGACCAAATAGACCGTTCCCTAGCTCGTCATGCATTCTTTCCAAAAATCGGCACTGTCCCTCCAAAAGCGGGACGTCTTGTCACCCTAAACTGGGCCACCCCACCCCCAATCTGTGAAACGGGTCATGGTCACGTTGTCAGTGGGCATCCAATGGTACTGCCCTCATTCACGTGCCGGCGTCATTACCGTAACCTGGGAGGAAGGAAAAGAAGGAGGCACAGAGGTGCTGGCATGACAGAGGAGGGTATCATGGCCTGGGGGCTGGTATGCTCCTTGGCATGCCCAAACCACGAGGCGCCATCACCCCTTTAATTGGTCACAGAGTCGGCCAGAAAATGGTAAAGACACCTGCCCAGCACCTGCCAGTTGACTGAAAGTGTTCACCTGGCCTGGGGCTGCCCCAATTCGCTCCTTCGGTGCCAGCTATCCGGGGTGATCTCTCCCTTCTGTTCATCTGAGAGACTTCAAAACGTTGGTGGGGAAATGTCATTGCCTTTCCATTCTTTACCCTCCACCAACTTTCTGAAGGCCCCACAGATTTCCGGAGCTTCAAGGGACCCCAAGATGGCTTGCGTCCTGCTGTTAGACTGGGTTTGACGGACTTAGCCCCGTACCTTTTCCCTCGGACGCTCAGACAGCCTGCCTTCCTCGAGCTCCCCACAGGCTCCTGTTGCCGAGCTCTCCGTCATCCACCCGGTCAGCCGCTGCTCTGCGTGCGGTGGAGCAGCACTGCGGAGACGCTTCGGGTTGTTCTGACGCGGGCTTGTCTTCAGAGGCACTGAGTGCGCACATCCTCGCGACACACTCGATCGCGACCCTGTGACTGTTGGTGCTGTCAGGTTGCTTTCAACTCGGTGACCCCCAAGGACAGCAGAAGGAAACTGGTGCTGCCCCACGCGGTCCCATTGCTGCAGCCACTGTGGCGGTCCATCTCCACAAGGACCTTCCTCTTTGGGGTGGCCCTCGGCGTTGGCAGCCAGGGTGCCCTTCTCCAGGGACGGGTCCCTCCTGGTAACATGTCCCAAATGCGTGAGACGACGTCTCTCCATTTTCACTTCCGAGGAGCGTGCTAGCTTTATTGCTTCGTGACACCAGAGCTCCTCAAAGACAAAGCTGCTCGAGGTTTCCCGGAGCTTCGTGTTGGTTTGGCTGTGCAGGGTTTGGGGCTCACTTTGACGGCTACCTTGGGCAAGCCGGGGAGAGTGCACTGGGGTGCCGGGTTCTTCGGGCTGTGGCTGATTCGTTTTGATGAGAAGATGCAGTTCCATGCAGCTTCCCTGCAGACCTTCTATGGGACCGTGTACCTTTTCAATTTGCTCAGTCCTTTGCCCTGATGGCCCCAGAGGAGATCTCAGGGACCTGGGCAGGATCTCTGGCTCTGTCTTAAGTCCATGCCCCTTTTAGTCTCTGTTTGAGTGGTTTTGACTTAACACAGGTTCTCTTCCCAAATGTGTGGTTAAAGCCGTCTTGCCAGGAAGACGTATCCTCTCGTTCCTAAAGTTCACCTTGCTCCAAAAGCAATCCTTGTCACAGGAAGATGGGGTCCTCCAAGTGTAGTCTGCCACATCCGTGTGACCCAGAAAGCCTACGTTTTGAGGCGAAATCACAGCCAAAGAAACAGGAGGGGGCGGGGGGGTGGGGGTGGGGGCGGTTCCAGGAACGACGACAACAAAAAGGGAGAGGACATGGACTTGGTTCATTGTGTATTGAGCCCGTCCAAAGACACGGTCGGTGCTGGGGACCCTGTGTCTGCGGCAGACTTCCTGCCTCCCAGGCGGGATGAGCTGCCATCTCTGGTTGTGGAGGAAGTGCACACAGTCCGGGTGCGCACAGAACCTGACCGGGCTTATATGCTCCGGCTCCTTCAAGACTTGATGGTGGCTCTAGAGTCACCGTGTCCTCTTCCAGTGCCCCCAGAGGGCCCTTTCCCAAGCAGGGGACTTAGGAGTGGTCCTCTTGCCCACAGGAAGAGGGCAGGGCATTTGGCCCCTGGTCTTCCCTCCCCTCTGCACATGCCCCTGCATCCTGCACCCAGAGGGGCCTACGCTCTTCTAGCCGTCCTCAGTTTATCCCGAGGCAGCCTTTTCCTGGAATAGGCCTGCCACACGCAAAGATGTTGGAGCGCTTCTCTCCCTGGAGGACCAGCATCAATGACTGCTCTCGCAGAGGCCCAGGGCCGGAGCTCTGCCCATAGTTAGTGTCTCCCTCACAGACCAGCACCCCTCCTGGGTGCAGGGGTAGTTGTTGTTCCCCATCTCTGTCTGCATCTGCTTATCATTGTGGCTGTGCCAAGCAGATCCCCCAGAAATGTGTAGTGAGTGCTCAAATCGATACCGTTCTTCAGCTAGTTCAAGGCAATGTGAGTATAAGTGTATCATGATCCAGTCCAATTTTATTCACAAAAATGAGCATGCCAGATATGCCCTCTGGGCAAGTTTGCCAAACCCTGGTGTAAAGGAAGACACATAGTTTGAATGAGCTTCCTTTCCAGGCAAGCCAAGCCAAGCCAAGCCAAACCAAGCTCGTTGCTGTCGAGTCGATGCCGAGTCCCGGCCTACCCTGGAGGGCAGAGGAGAACTGCCCCTGTGGGTTTCTGAGACTAACTGGTAACAGGGTTAGAAAGCCCTGCCTTTCCCCTGAGTGGCTGGTGGTTTCAAACTTACGACCTTGTGGATTGCAGCGCACCGTGCAATCTTTCCAGGCACTGTGCATATAAATCAATCAGTCCATGAACGAAGGCGTAGATGGTCTTGTCTGCTCTGGGAGACCCCCGTGCCTGGCATTAAGATGACCCCATTTAGTGAGCCAGTGTAAACACACACACACACACACACACACACACACACACACACACACACCACCCCCTTCACACTCACTGCCATTGAGTTTGTGAGACTGTAACTGTTCATGGGAGTAGAAAGCCCAGTCTTTCTCCCTCAGAGCTGTTGGTGGTTTCAGACTGCTGACCACGCAGACTGCAGCCCCGCGTGTAACCATTACACCACCAGGCTCCTGAAGGCACGGCAAGCACAGATGTGAGCACTGTGCTGGTGGAGCCGCAGATGGGAGCACTGTATTGGTGGAGCTGCAGATGGGAGCACTGTGCTGGTGGAGCTGCAGATGGGAGCACTGTGCTGGTGGAGCTGCAGATGGGAGCACTGTGCTGGTGGAG